AAATGATCAACTGAAAAAAGTGATATCAGATTTAGATGATGAATATTTGTTATTTCTTTCTAATTCTGGAAAAATAACAAAAAGCAAAAAAAAAGAATGAAATTATTAACAAGAAATATTAATTTAATCATTGAACAGACATGCAATTGCTTAATTGATGTTAGTAGATCTTTGTTAAGTAGAAGGTTTAATTTTGTTATGTTTAGTTAATTAGACTATTTAGAAAATGAATTTGGAAAATTAAGATAAACTTCTAGAGGTACAGATTTTATAACAATTCAAAATGTTATTGAAAAACTAAACTACTTAAATTAAATGTTGATGTCAAAAGAATACGACTTTGATCCAAGCAATAATTGCTCAAAATGTAAGAATTTGCTGAATGAAATGAGATGCCAAACATTTGATAACTTACCAGACCTTGAAACTAGAATCCCTACAGATATTAAAATGTCCCTTTTGTATCTCGCAGGCTATGTTACAAGAAAAGATTGTCCGACAGAAGAGGAAATATTTAATAATATTAATTTTTATTTTGAAGAATATGAACATTTTTGAAAGAAATAGATTGTGGTCATTTAAAAATTCCGCTGGATGCTAGATATTTTGTTTTTCAGTTTTCCCTCTTTTTACATATATTTAAGTAACTCCTCAAATTATCTTGTGTATTAATTTTGTTCTTGTTAATGTAAATTGATTTTAATTTTTAAAATAATATATACTGGTAATATCTATTATTATAGCGAAATAAATATTTCCTTAATCTTCCGTGAAACAAATTGTACATGTAACAAAAATCACAATAAATTTTGTAAAGATTATCAATATTATTGTTTCTCTGAAATTCACATCTTTTGTAAAGTATTTCAGACATTGTTGATACACGGTTTTGTAAAAGGCTGAAATTGCTTTCTAATTGTATTATATAATTTTATATTTTCTGTAATCATTTAGCATAAACAAATTAATTCATTATTTTTACATTATCAACTAAAAATGTCTAATTGATTTGTGTGCATTTAGTTATTTTATGGTATTTTTGTTCTTTCTTTGTACATTTTCGCTTATGGAAATAAGTCAATAATTGTAAGATGCTTCCTCATATTATATGTAGTTACTAATTAACTAATTATTGCACATTACTAGCAAAATCCTTCCTAAAAAGGTTCTTAGTAATTGTTATTTACTAGTAATTTAGGTCCTCACATGTCCACCCCCAGTCGTTTTTTAGAAAATCTTGGTGAATATATATATATATATATATATATATATATATATATATATTGTATATGTTAGCACCCATTTACATAATTTCATGAAATTTCGAATTATTAATTTTTTTAGGGGGGTGGGTATTTTTTTATTACTTAAAAGATGGGACTCCTTGGAGAAAGTAAACCATCAATTTCTTTTATAAAACAGTTACCCGTTTCAACGAAAATCTGCTCTGAATTGTAAAATGAAAAATGCAATAAAACTATGACATTATCTAATTAGAAAAACTTTTAATTGCTTTTGTAAATAAGTTATATTAAGGACACTATTGTGTGAAAAAATTAAAAAGATTTTCGACGAATAATGAATTTTTACAAGAATTTTTTCTTTTTTTAAATTTTAATTATAATAATATAATAGTTCAAAAATCGTTTAAAATTCTTCATTGCTTTCAAGAATGCAATTTGTTGATATCGTTAAGTGAAAAGTTACGAATCAAAATTTTAAAAGCTCATAACTGTCGTTTGTACCCGAATATTTTAAAAATAATTTTAAAAATAATTCACTTTTAAAAATGATTTTCTGATTCATGTTAATGCCCCGTGATTTCTATTCTTTGACACCAGCCCCAGGCCCAACCCTCGATAAAATTCACCTGGAATGAAAAATCGCCACCCTGCAAACAAACATCCTCGAGCGAAACAATTCTGTGATTTTTTTACTTTTTTTTTTCACGGCAAAAGTTTAAACATTTAACATTTTAGGTTCTAAGACGTACAAGTCTGGTGAAGCCATTTCTTTTCTTTTTTTTTTCTGTTGGTTTGGTCGTAAGTAAAATTTGCCTCGCCTTTTTTTAAGTTCCTTGTGTCGTTTGATTTCCTTTGCTTTCACAGTCAACTTGACACGAATTGAGTCGACAAAGGCGTACAATTTTCGTTCGGCTCCTGCTGGTTTGAGCCGAATTGCGTCAAGCAGTGCTTGTTCCTCTCTCAAACATTCCTTCCCTCAAATATTTCTCGTCTAACACCCTCCCTTAACAAGACGAGTCACAATTATCAGCTTTAAAAAAAACTGATCACCACTCATACATATTTATGTTAGGTAAAAGGACAAAAAACTATCATCATATATATATATATATATATATATTTATGAATAAAAATGACAATAGGAAAACTGGTAATTGCTGACGCGTTTCGTCCAATGTGGACTTTATCAAAGCAAAATACGAAAATGAAATTAAATGAACAAAGTAACTAATAAAAACAAAAACAGAATGTACCTAGCAACTGGAATGTAGAGAAACGCTATTTTCATATTTTTTAACTGAAAAATAACGTCAGAGATTGTCACGTGTGGAGAATATTGTCATTATATCTGTGTTGATGTATTCAACCATTTTCTTTCGATTTTATGAATCTGTTGTGCATATTTGTTTGTAAGAGCATTAATTTTGTTAAGAAAGGTGAAATAGGGAAAAGGCCTGGGCGTAAATTAATATTTGGATAATTTTCTATGTCGGCACTCTCCAGAATTTTCCTTCTGAGTGAGTGATTTTCTTTTTTTATGAGTGTAGCATTTTTAAAATCAAAATTATGGTTGTATTTATTTCTATGTATGACTATTGCATTAGCTAAGTTGTTTTTTGTGAGGTCTCTTTTGTGCTCATAAATGCGTTTTTTCAAACTTCTACTTGTTTCTCCAATATATTGGGAGGAGCAGTTTTGGCAATTTATTTTATAAATGCCTGCTTCAGAAATATTAGTGCTATTATTGTTTGAAGATCTTAGTATATCTATAATGGTTTTGGAAGTGTTTGTGACTATTTCAAGATTATTTAGATGGGATAGGTTATTCTGGATCGTGGACGTGACAGAATTGGTCGGTAGTATTATGTATCTGTTTTCATGTGATTTACTATTGCGGATTGTGTTATTAGTTTTGTTTCGTTTGTATATTTTGTATGCCTTTCTTCTTGCATTGTGGATGAAATGATATGGGTATTGTAGGTTTTTGAATGTGTTTTCTATGTATGTATCTTCTTCAAAATAAATATTGAGGACTACAGATTCTTAATGCTCTTAGATAGAAACCTATAATAATTCCAGATTTAATTTTTGAAGGGTGGTTTGAGTAGAAGCTGATGAGATCATTTTTGTTTGTAGCCTTTCTGTAAACGTCAAAATTGAGTTCGTTGTTATTTCTAATTAACAAAATGTCCAGGAACGGAAGAGTGTAGTTGGTTTCAGTTTCGAGAGTGAAGTTTATTGTAGGTTCAATGTTGTTAAGTTTGGAGAGAAGATCCGTTAAATTAGTGTTTTTTGGAATTATTAATAACGAGTCGTCTATGTATCTGAAATATGAAGAGTTTGTAGGGAGAATATTTTTGAATGAGTCACTTTCTAGAAATTCTAAAATAGACATGCAAGAACGCCGCTGAGAGGAGATCCCATTGGCAAACCAAATTTCTGTCTGTAATGTTGGTTATTAAAAGTAAAGAAGCATAGCTTGGTAATTAGTTGGCACAGTTTTATAATTTTGTGTGTAGATATAGGTAATTGGATTTTTGCATTTGTTAGGTGTTTTTAAGTAAATTTAAGCATTTATCTATGGGGACGTTTGTATAAAGAGATTGTATATCTAAACTAGTCATATATTTGTTTTCAATGTCTATGTTTTTTAGCTTGTTTAAGAGGTCGCCTGAATTTTTATGTGTGATGGACTAATAGTGCCGATACACATATACGATATATATTCACACACACACACACACACACACACACACACACACACACACATATATATATATATATATATATATATATAACACCCACAGCAATATACACGCTTACACATATCATACTCACTCACTCCCTAAGAACCAAATAACACACACAAACACTTAACAGAGACACATCCCCTCTCCAGGACCAATAAAACTGTCAAACTGACCAAGGGAATTCAGAGAAGCATAGATCCATCCAGCTCTTATCTCAAATAACAACTTAAAAGAGACTGTTTGACCAACACAAGGAATGTTAAAAGATTCATGTTAAAAAGATAAAAAAATTTAAAAAAACGAATGAAAACTACAGACAAAAGTTCATTTTCTCCATCAAGACATTCATTTCTGTAGTTTACTGCTATCAGCAAGCAGAAATATTTCTTCTCCCGAGGATGGCCATTTTGGTCGAAACTAGTCGAGGAATCTGAATGAAATGATAATAAAAAAAAACGAAAGAATATTAATCGACAACCCAGTGTGTCTGAAGATTTTAATTTTTTAATATTTTTTTTATTGTTCAATGTATATATATATATATATATATATATATATATATCAGTTATATACCATGCGTGATACATGCTTAGGCGATCATGTATCTTTCGATACATGACCGAAGAGACAGATTTTTCCCCGAAGTAGGTTGCCATTTCTTTCTGCGGTAGACCAGCTGCCATCCAAGGCTACAGAACCCAGTCTGTCCTGGTATTTACCCATAGCTTGGGGTGGAGATGAATAGGATTCATACCTTTCCCAAGGGTATTAGCACGTAAGTGAATGTAATGCATTCGACTACCCCGGTGGACGAAAGGATTCAGTTCTATCTATCTATCTATCTATCTATCTCATTCTGTTCATATCTATCTATCTATCTATCTATCTATCTATCTATCTATCTCTTTTTCGCTTTTGTTTATTCAATAGACGCGGTCAAGGCTTTTTATCTTTGTTCCCATAAGAAAGAAAAATTTAGATTACAGACATAAGTACTCGAGAGCTTTCAAATATGTACAAAGAAAGAAAGAAAGAAAGAAAGAAGGAATGAAAGAAAGAAAGAAAGAAAGAAAGAAAGAAAGAAAGAAGGAATGAAAGAATGAATGAATAAATAAATAAATAAAAAAAGAACATCTTAAAAAATGTCACTTCCCGACAGGAATTAAGTCATTTACAAATGTAAAAATAAATAAATCAAATAAAAAATATATATATAAAAAAAAGCTTTCAAAATCTTCGTTTATTCAGGCAACAAATATAACCTATTTTAAACAGACCGTTACTGTGAATGTTGATTTTTAACGCAGGCAGCCATTTTACCACTAGAAAAACTTTTGCACACCTCTTTGATTTAGTAACAGTACGAACGAACAATTTTCAAGATCGTCTCTGAGATAAGCACTATGAAGACCTACAATTTTGACTGGGATTGTTGGCTTTCTAATAATAGCGACAATCGCCGGATTTCAAATAAAAGCCAGAATTTTCAAGTGTTTATTTTCTAGACACTTTAAGTTTACTCAAAAAATTGATTCAACAATTTTTTTCTTTTTTCTATCTTCCATCTGGCTTTGTGTCAGACTTAGCTAAGCTTATCTAATATTTATTAATGATACTCTGATTTAATTTTTTTAAGTCGAGGAAACGACATTTATTCGCACCTCCAAGAGAGGAAAAAAGGACACAGACGGTTCCACAAATTAAAAGGCAGAGTAAATCAAATAGGGTCTAAGTCAGGTATTTTGATTTTTTTTTTAATTTCCTGGTTCTTTTATATTTGGTCTTCTCATGAAATTTTAGTGACCTTCATTTCAATTTTCAAACATTTTCTTGAATTTCATTGGTTGTTAAATAAAAATAAGCTTCGAGAAATTTCCATAACAAAACAGTCAAAATTGGTGCAAAAATAAGCTCAACTGACATAAAAAAAAATCTTCCTCAAATTCATCCCTAATTTAAATGTTTCAAGAATTCCTATTGGCTAAAAAATAAAAAAAAATACAACATTCGCCCATGCATTTCTCAGAAAAATTCGCAATAAGCCACCAAGCCGCTGGAGCTGATTTTGTTGTTAAAAAAAAAAAAAACTATAAATAGAAACAGCAAACGAATTTTCGTCGCATTTTGAGACTCACACACGCAAAGGTAGACACGGGAATTATGTGTCAAAATTGCCACCAAAGAAACAAACTTTCTTTATGAGAGATTAGAAAAATTCATACAACAAACTTTTTCACTTAATATCTTTCATAGAAAAATCTTTTGTCTAAGTTAAATTCAACCTTTCAATCAAAGGCAGACAACTTTTAGACATTGAACATTTCTAAAACAGCAAAGAACGCTTCCTCTACACCTTTGCTCACATCATTACAAACAAAGAAATTGTAAATTGTGTATATAAAATTTAGTCTTTTGTTTCAAACATGTATCTTTTGTCGTGATTGAATATCGTTACCATTTGGCCAGTTCTTATAATTTATGTTTGTGGATATTGCATATTTTATTTACAGCACAATCCTAAATATTCACGCAACCTTCTTAGATCCACTACAAAATGAATATTTTTCAAATCATTTATCCTATTGTAAAGGATTTTGCATTTTGATTTTAAATATTCATTTTTACTGTTCGTGTTTACTTGTTTTCTGGAATTAGTCCGATACACTTTTCCCGCCTATAAGCAGGATCGGTGCAAGGCTCTCGTGGACACCCCCCCCCCGAATCTATGATGCAACCACCCATCCCCACTCTATTATATATTTTTAATCTTAATTTTAATCTTAATGCATATAAAATATAAATTTTATTGTAATCAAATTATGTTCACCAATGGATCCTATGCAATATAGGTGAACAATTCAACTCCCAATATTGAAATTATATACAATGTATCTAAATATTAGAGACATGTCATAATAGATCGTTTCCATCTTAAATAAATCAACATTGTTTTGCCGCTTTTTTTAACATCAACTCGAGATTTTTCTGGCTAAAAACTTGAATAATTTTATCACATTTTACATTATGGATAAACTAGTGAATCTTAAATAGTTATTTATTTTTTTTTAGATTTAACACAGGCTAAACAAATTCACGGATTTAGTCGAAAAAAAAAGCGGCCCTAGAATGACATCAAAAGCCGCGAAAATCTTCTCTCCTTTTATAGTCAATTGTACTTTGTAAGGTATATAAATGTAGGTAGAAACAAAACAAATGTTGATAAGGTAGCGAAGCACTGTCTACCCACCAATCCGGCTGGAATCCACAGATGATTTGGGGGATAGTACCACCGACACTGCGGATAAGATATGTCTTTTAGAAGCTAATGTTTCACGAAAAATGAAGATTAATTCTTATTTATTTATTTTTTCAATTAATGGTATTTAATGATTTTTCGAGAAATTATAGAAGCACAATAACATTGTTATTGATTGAGGCCAACGAGACTAAATTTAGTCTTCAGTTTTAGTTGTAGGTTCCAACAAAAAGTGAAGAGTCTGTTGCCCTTAAACCCTGTAACAGAAACCAATCCCAGCGGACAATCCCAACAGTGAACAAATTCCCAGCCTCCAATCCCAAAAGTGGACAAAATCTCCATCTCGTAAACGTAAAGAAACAAACTTAACATAGAAAATTCGAGGAACTTTTAATTCAAATTTTAATGTCAAATTCAAACAACAACAACAACAACAACAATAATAATAATAATAATATGCTGTTGCTACTTTAAAGTATACAAAACTAATGAAAATCATTTAAGAAAAAATAAATAAACCCAATACTAAACAAATAATATATAAACGAACTCTTTAATTTTACCGTACCTGTAAGTAGGAGAATTGATGACGTAAATGGAAAAGGAAGGTAGGAGATGTTATTGTTTGGAAAGGGAAAGGAAAGACATGATCGTCTCTTTATTTATAAGAATTGTATAAATCGTTGATTTTGCCATATGAAACTGAGTAGGAAGAGACAATATCACCAACAATTGTTTTTCCCTTAATTTTTCTCTTTCCAGTTTTCTTTGGAGCCATGACTGAGGACTAATGAAGAAAAAGGCACAACACAATACACGAATGTATATAACATGGCGGTCGACTCAGAAATTATTCCGTTCGGGTTAACTCGCTTCGACTTACAATCTGCTACAAAATCTCAAAATGAACGAACGCTGAGCGAACGTTGTTTTAAAAGGTTTATTTTCTTTTACATGAATAAAAATTGTATCCTTCTCTTGCGACAGAGTTCGTAGCTGACGCAGAGAGAGAAAGAGAGAGAGAGAGGTTTCTTCTTTGTAGTTTAATGAACAGACTAAGATAATGAACAGACTAAGATAGATAGATAGATAGATAGATAATGAACAGACATACTGTTATGTTAATTTACCCACGTACACATGTACTCTCCCAGCTATAAATAGGAACAGGTACTGCCATTTTGGAGAGGGAAGATTCCAGCAGTCAGCTCTGACAGTCAGACCAAATATTCTTGCTGTAACACTCTCGTTTGTATTGTTTGTATTGCTGTTTCTGTTAATATATTTGTTTAACTCAGTTCCTCTCTTGTGTCTTTATTTCTCGACCTAACAAGGTCACAACACTATCTATCTATCTATCTATCTATCTATCTATCTATCATGGTAATTTACCCATGCACGCATAGACCCTCCCAGCTATAAGTAGGAGCAGGTACTGCCTTTTGTAGAGTGAAGTTTCCAGCAGTCAGCTCTGAGAGTCGGACTGAACATTCTTGCTGTAACACTTTCGTTTTATATGTTTGTATTACTGTTTCTGTTAATATATTTTTTTAACTCAATTCCTCTCTTTGTGTCTTTATTTCTGGGCCCTAACAAGGCCACAACACAGATAGATAGATAGATAGATAGATAGATAGATAGATAGATAGATAGATAGATAGATAGATAATGAATAGAATGAGATTGATAGATAATGAACAGAGTGTGATAGATAATGAACAGAATGAGATAGATAGATAGATAGATAGATAGATAGATAGATAGATAGATAATGAAAATAGATAGATAGATAGATAGATAGATAGATAGATAGATAGATAGATAGATAATGAACAGAGTGATATTGTTGTTATGTATTTTATCGATTTCAGGACTGTTACTGTTATTGTCTCTGCTGTAATTGTTTTGCCAGGAATCAGAAAGAATCCAATTTATCGCCGGCTGCTGATCACCAAACGGTCATCATAATCAACTTTAGTGAATTTTCAGCCTTGGAAGGGTAGGAAGTTTATCTCTTGTCTAGCCACTCCTCGTCGTCGTATGTTGTAAAGTATTAACTTTTCATCGCACGTTGCGATGCAATCAAGAAAACAGGACTTTTTTTTAATGCGCAAAAGGATCGAAGATCTGACCTCATAACGGTAATTTTTCTTTTTCTCTTTCTCTTTCTTTTTCTTTTTCTTTTCTTTTTTCTTTTTTTTTTTTTTTTTTTTTTACATTACCTTAGTGTTATTTTTTTTTTAATCTGAAAATATGATTTTATTGCTCAACCAAGTCTGCATATCCAGATTGAGTTGGGGGTTTTAGTATTCCAATGTTTTAATCTGGTATAAGCATATTATTTAATAAGTGACCCAATGTGCCAGAGTAGTGAGGCTAATGAATATCGCATAAAGAGAAACCGATAAATGCTTTCTTTCTCGACTCGTATGAACTTACTGTAGATGTTGCTCCCTGAAAAACAACTAAAATAATTTTCAGTAAATGCATCATGAAATAGACTAAAATTCTTCTTTTCCAAAAAATGTCCTCGTAATTAACCCTTACGTCACTTCTATAAAAAAAAAATGTACCTGTTCTATAATTTGTGCAAAAAATCTCCTAAATATTCCATACCAAAATATTCCATACCAAAATATTCCATACCTAAATATTCCATACCAAAATATTCCATACCAAAATATTCCATACCTAAATATTCCATACCAAAATATTCCATACCAAAATATTCCATACCTAAATATTCCATACCAAAATATTCCATACCAAAATATTCCATACCAAAATATTCCATACCTAAATATTCCATAAAAATATTCCATACCAAAATATTCCATACCAAAATATTCCATACCTAAATATTCCATACCAAAATATTCCATACCAAAATATTCCATACCAAAATATTCCATACCAAAATATTCCATACCAAAATCTGGATGCGTCCGATGCTTGGCTGTGTTCAATATGTCGGCAAAAACGGTAATAGTTTTTTCTTCTGTATTTTTTTTTTAACTGTGTGTATTCTGAACTGATATACATCATTTTAAAGTTGATATATAAAAGCCGGCATTATTTTCTGAACAAACTGACGCATAAAATGGATACGATGAAGAGAAAGAAAAATGAAGGCGAAAAACGACGACGCAT